CTGATAACTGGTATGGTTTCCTCTTTGTTTTTCCCAAAGCCAATAATTGCCTTTCTTTCCATTTTCCTAAGGAAAACTCGTCTTTACCATAGTGCTAAAATCCTCCGATTTCATACTTATTAACATAACCTCTTCCAGTCTTCCTGAAGATTTTCTTCACTGAGTCCCTGAATTCTTAGCCTACCAGTAATTTGGTCTGATTGTTGTAGAGCAACCTACAATCCTAGTCATCCTCGACACCACTTTCCCAGGTTAGATCCATTGTTTATTGAAGCCTTTCCTGCTGCCGCCTTCCTTTTCCATCCAGATTTTACTAAAGCTGATCCTTTAATATCCTAATAAAGGGTAAATGAAAGTAAACTGAAGCAAACTGCATATACAGAATATCAGTGTTTGGCCTCATGCTTTATTGTTGTGTATAGACTTTTAGATTCAACGTAATTTTACCTCATAACTTGGAAGGTGCTGTTCTATGTTTTGTTATCTAATATTACTAACAGGAGGGAAGGCTAACACTATCTTGAATGTTCTTTTTAGGAGATTCACATTTTTAGAAACCTTTTCAGGATGGTTTCACTTTCAGTATTCTGAAATTTCACAAGCATATTTCTGGATGTCTATTTTTCTGTTGTAATTGTGGTTTTTGCCAGTTCAGCCTGCCCAACACTTGGTGAGCTATTCCAAGCTGAATATTCATAACTTTCTTGAGTTTAGAAAGATTCTCATTTATTTGATATATCCCTTATATTTTCTCTGTAAACTTCTCTGAAACTCCTATTAATTAAACTTCTCTGTCCTTTTTGTTTATTTTCTTTTATGAATTTGGAAAGTTTCCTTAATTTTCTTTAAAACTTCTATTAAGGGGCACCTGGTGGCTCAGTCATTAAGCATCTGCCTTCAGCTCAGGTTATGAACCCAGAGTCCTGGGATCGAGCCCCGCATTGGGCTTCCTGCTCAGCAGGAGGCCGGCTTCTCCCTCTCCCACTCCCCCTGCTTATGTACCCTCTCTCGCTGTCTCTGTCAAATAAATAAATAAAATCTTTTAAAAAAATAAAACTTCTATTAAGTTTATTACAGCAATAACATTTTTTCATTCTTAGGAGTTCTTTTTTTTTCTAGAAAACAGAAGATTATTTTCTGTACATATTTTTCTTTAAAAATGATTTTTAAACATTTTAATTTCAGTATAGTTAACAGTGTTTAAATATTAGTTTCAGGTGTACAATACTACCTAATTTTTTTTTAAGATTTTATTTCTTTGGGAGAGCATGAGCGGGGGAGGGGCAGAGAGAGAAGCAGACTCCCTGCTGAGCAGGGAGCCTGACCTAGGGCTTGATCCCAGAAGGATCATGACCTGAGCCGAAGGCAGACCTTTATCTGGCTGAGCCATCCAGGTGCCCCTCTATTTCTTTTTTGATAGCTTTCCATATTTACCTGTTCAAATCTGACATAAATTTTTAGTTTTCTTCTGTCGTTACGTAACTTTCTCCACTTTAGGTTTAGTGCTGTCTCTTGGTCCTTATTATAATAGCTGATAGTTTTCTTCATATGTTACGATCCTTAACTGTTCCAACATTTAAGAATGATATGGCTTGTGTCGTCTGGCGGGATCAGTCAATAGAGCTCAGTCAATAGAGTGTGTGACTCTTTTTTTTTTTAATTATTTTTTTTTAATTTTTTAAATTTATTAGAGAGAGAGAGAATGAGAGATAGAGAGCACGAGAGGGAAGAGGGTCAGAGGGAGAAGCAGACTCCCCGCTGAGCAGGGAGCCCGATGCGGGACTCGATCCCAGGACTCCAGGATCATGACCTGAGCCGAAGGCAGTCGCTTAACCAACTGAGCCACCCAGGCGCCCCGAGTGTGTGACTCTTGATCCTGGTGTTGTTTGAGCCCCACATTGGGTGTAGAAATTACTTTAAAAAAATGGGGGCGCCTGGGTGGCTCAGTCGATAAGCGTCTGCCTTTGGCTCGGGTCATGATCCCAGGGTCCTGGGATGGAGCCCAGCATCAGGCTCCTTCTCCATCTCCCACTCCCCCTGCTTGTGTACCGTCTCTCGCTGTGTGTCTGTCAAATAAATAAAATCTTTAAAAAAAAGAAAAAATGATATGGCTTGTTTACCCCAGGTAGCTGTAGATCAGTTTCCCTGATTAGGAAGGGTTACTGGGATCTTTGTATGCATGGGAAGGACTAGCAAGTCAAAGAGAGATTCTCCAAATTCCTGAAAAGGTTTTGACTTAGCCACCAACTCTCATGCTAGCTACCCAAGTTTCCATAAGTTCATTTCTTCATAGTTTAAATTTCTTATATTATTACATTATTGCTTAGAACTTCAAATACTACAGATAACACTAGGTCTCCTATTAACCAGAATATCCAATCCCGGTCTCCTCCCTAGAAGGAACACTTATCAGTTGGCATGTGTCTCTCCAAAACCTTTTTGAAACATTTGCATACTTATTTAAATGTATTAGAAATATTTTAAAAACATAATACCGTGCAAGTCTACAAAATTTGCTGTTTCAATATCCTTTAGTCAGATACATCCATGTCTGTATCACTGGTGCATTCTTTCAAACTGCTGCTAATATTTCTAGTCATGCACCATGGAACTTTAGATTGTTTCCAATGTTTCATGTACTAACCATACTGCCCTCCAAAGGGACTGTAGTGAACATTTTAAAAACTTCACTGCCTCCAAAGTGGCAGTGAGGTGTTCTTATTGCTCCATGCCCTGGCCACTTTTTGGGAGTACATTATTTAAATTTGCATCTCAATACTAGTGAGGTTGAGCCGGGACTCATTTTCTGTATTTCTGCGATTTGCCTATTCTCATATTTTGTCCATTTTTATACCTCCTTAGTTCTTTTGCTTATTTATAGGTGTTCTTACATCTTTCCCTTTGTATTATATTACAACTATTTTCTTCCTTTCTGTTCTAAATTTTAAGAACATTTTCTTTTTTAGAAATATATGTCCAACACCAATTAATAAATATATCCTACTGTATTTGCTTATAATACTTTTACCTGTTTTACATTTAGGATCTTAAGTCAACTGGAACTCCCCTTTTTGTGGGTGGTGTGAAGTAATGATCCTATTCAGTTTAGTTACAGAGTGTGGAGTGAGGAAGCTGTTGGCTTCCACATAGAAAAGCATTTAACAGTCTTGTCACTGTTTCTTATTACCATCCCTCCCACCCCCAGCCTCTACACACAAACCAGCTTGAAGCCTAAACTCTAGGGATGCTCTGTACACAGCATTTGGGCAGAGTGGCTCCTATTACTGAAATCCCTATCATTCAAACATTTCAGGTTCTAGCAGCCTCTGCTACATTTCATGAATGAACACTTTCCTCCATTTTGTCTTTTATTTGCTCAATTCTTTTCATCCATTGATGACCCTGCTTTCTGATCTTTGGTATCTTTTCCATTGTTTTATGCATTTAATGGGATATGGAAGGAAGGTAAATTTATATACTGTTTGTTAACTGCGAAAGAAAATCTTGGTTTTTCAAATGAAAATTCTGATATTGATAAGTTGCCTTTCCAAAAATTTGTACAAATTCATACTCTCACACATACTCCTTTCCTGCTTTTGCAATGCATATTTTTTATAAATCTGATATTGACAGATGGATCGCTTAACTTTTATTTCTTCATTCTAGTGAGATTCAGTATTTATCATACATTCATCAGTCACCTGTTGCCTCTTTATATCCTTTGCCTTTGGGAATAGTAGTGTCATTTTCTAAGTGATTTGTAGGACCACTTTTATGTTAAGGATATGGATTTCATGTATGTTGTAATAATTATCTCTAATAGTGATATTTAAAAACTTTGTGTTTATACTATCTTTGACTATATAAAAGCTTAATAAAGTTCTTATGCTGTCAAACCTAGAATCTGTGTATCTGTGGCTTCTGGATCTCATGTCTTGTTTAGGAAGATTGTTTTCACTCTTGGATTATAAATTATGTTACTATGTCCTCTAATAACGCTTTCACATTTGGATAAAAGAATGAAGGAGTTGGTTTTGTACAGAGCAGAATCAATTTTACCAGTACTGTTAAGCCACTGACAAATTCCTTTATTTATATATTTTATGTGTTTACCTGTATGAATGTACATGTGTCTATGTTCACATGCACACAATGTTTCAAGCCTTAAAAAATTCTTCTTAGGATTTTGTTAGGTGCAAAGAATCTGTAGATTAATTTTGGGCCTCCTAACATCTTGAGAATAGTCTTCCCCTGCAGGATAAAATGTCTATTCAAATGTTCCTTTTCACCCTCCATTTCATCATTTTCTTTGTACCTATATTCATATGTGAATTGGTTACTGAAGTGATTGCATGTTCAAAGCCTCCAAGAGTCAGAAAGTAATATGAAGTGTAAAATAAGTCAGATGTAATGGAAGGAGGAATGGTTTGAACTGTGGAGAACTGGAAAACACATGCCCAAATAAAAGTATTTGTATTTTTTTTTTTTTTTTTGGTATTCATTTTAAACTTAATGGGTACCAAATCAAACACGTTTGTGGGCCACCAGTTCAGGAGTATTGATCTATGGTTTTCTTTTCCCCTCTAGTTTTGGAATTACACCTTAGAACTAGCTTAACCTTTTTGGTTTTAAACGACTTAGATTTAATACAGTTCAACCACCTGGAATTAGGAGAGGGCGTCAAACTTATATTTTATTTTCTATTCTTTGGTTATTGATTTTTTTGTCTTTTTAAAAATATCTATTTTGCCTTTGTCTTAACGTAAATGAATACATCTCAGTAAATCCTACTTATTACTAGTGATTTTTAAAATCTGGCTTCTTAGAACTGTTGAGTATCTAATGAAGTTAGTTTTTCTTACCAACAAAGTCATATCTTGGTCTATATCATTAGGGACTTTAGTATCAATGCTACTGTTTTTAGATACCCTTATCACCCACCTTTAGAACAATGACTACTATTCCTAATCAAAAATCTGTATAATCTCTTAAGTCTTAAACTGCTGCTTCTTTTGTTATTTCTTAGATGATCCTTGCTAAGAAGATCAGGTCCTCTTTGTATACCACAGTATCTTTTCATTTTATGGTAACATTTATTAAGTGATTATGCTAGGCACTCTGAGCAATTTACATGCATTCTCTCATTTAATCCTCCCATCAACTTTTGAGGTAGTACTATTATTATTTCCATAATATAAATAAGAAGACTGAACCTTACAAAGAACAAAATGTTTCTCTGAAACTAGAGGGCTAGAAAATGGAAGTGCAAGGATTAGAACCCAGATCTGTTGGATGCTGGAATATAAGTTCTTAATTCTGGATAAATAGCCAAAGAATGAGATGGATTTTGACATGAAATAGTATTTTGGAAGGTATACTGGAACAAGGTATTTGGGGCAGGAGGGTCTTTTAGGCTATTCTGAGGAATGTGTGCTTTAACCTAAGAACTATGGGGTACCAGTGAAGGGTATCAGTGAGGAAGGGATATGATCAAACTTCTAAAATACAAGTTTGACTGCAATGTAGGCAGCTGACAAAGGAAATGGTAAATACAGGGAGACCAATCAGAAAGCTATTTCCATAGTCCATATGAAATAGATTACTGTGTACTGGACCAAGATGATGGAACGGAAATGGATTAAAGGAGTCAGATTCAAGGCATATTTAGGAGATAAAACCAACAGGTCTTGGCAACTGACTGGACATGGAGGATGAGGGAGAGGAAAGAGTCAAGAATGACTCCATAGTATGAATTCTCTCATGCTGGGCAAGATGGGCACGCTGCCTGAAAGATTTCCTGCAATCCTTACATTCATAGGGTCTCTCTCCTGTATGAATTCTTTGATGTAGAGTAAGAGATCCACTGTAGCTAAAGGCCTTCCCACAAATATTACATTCATAAGGTTTCTCTCCAGTATGAATTCGCTTATGTTGAGCAAGGCCTGCATTCTGGCTAAATGTTTTCCTACATTCCTTGCACATATACGGTTTTTCTCCAGTATGACTTCTCTGATGTTGTGCAAGTGATGAACTATTGCTAAAGGCCTTCCCACATTCAATACACTCATAGGGTTTTTCTCCAGTGTGAACCCTCTGATGTTGATCAAGGTATGCAATCTGGCTGAAGGCTTTCCTGCATACTTTACATTCGTAAGGTTTTTCTCCAGTATGAACTCTCTGATGTTGAGCAAGGTGTGCATATTGGCTGAAAGCTTTTCTACATTCCTTACATTCATACGGTCTCTCTCCAGTATGAATTCTCTGATGTACAATTAGGTATCCACGATGGCTAAAGGCTTTCCCACACACATTACATACATAAGGTTTTTCTCCTGTATGAATTCTCTGATGCTGAGCGAGAAATGAACCATTACTGAAGGCTTTTCCACATTCAATACATTCAAAAGGTCTCTCTCCAGTATGAACTCTCTGATGTTGAGCCAGGTGTGCAATCTGGCTGAAGGCTTTTTTACATTCTTTACATTGATAAGGTCTCTCTCCAGTATGAACTCTCTGATGTTGAGCAAGGTGTGCATTCTGGCTGAAGGCTTTCCTACATTCTTTACATTCATAGGGTTTCTCTCCAGTATGTATTCTCTTATGTTGAGCTAGGTTTGCACTCTGGCTGAAGGTTTTCCCACATTCAACACATGCATAGGGTTTCTCTCCAGTATGAATTCTCTGATGAAGAGTAAGGGATGAGCTCTGGTTGAAAACTTTCTCACATTCATTACATTTCAAGAGTTTCTTTTGTATACAGACTTTCTTATGTTTCACTTCGACAGACTTTTTTCGGTAACTTCTCTTTTGTGGCTCATGCTTATGTACTCTTTCTTTGGTGGGAAAAGTCTTTTTTATATCAAATATTGCATCCTCATGGAAAGTTTGCCAAGATTTAGTATATTCATTACTTTGATCCTCAGTGAGCATTTCTTTATGAGTGATCAGTTGTCTGGAATGTACCTCCTGACTTCCTAACTGGTTCTTGAGCCAGTCCTCACTTTTACAGTCTTCTCTCAAACTGGGGCAGTCAAGGCTATAACTAAGATGGCTTCTTCCCATTTTCACTAGTTCAGATGTTTCTTCATAAATAACTTGCTTTGATGAAAATCCATTGTTTTTAAATGTATACTCCCAATCTAAAAGATATAAAGAAAACAAAGGTCTTTTGTATTTGTTCATCAGACGAGAAGAACTTCTAAAACAAAAATTGGTGAATAAAATACATAAGTTTGGGGATTTAACAGCTGTTAAGATGCAGTCTAAAAAGTATGAAATTATGAAGAATGAAAAAGAATTAGGATATAAATTAGAAACCGAAGAAGTTATCTAAAATCACAATAATTTTATATCTGGTTTAATATTACAGTCTCCCAAACACCCTTCCCTTCTCTTGCCTCAGGTCATTCTGCATTCAAGCTAAGTTCATTATCTTTAAAAAGTCAATTTCATAAGGTCAGTGTGGCTAAAAAAACTTCCATAAGATCCTCATACCCAAAGATACACCAGGTACTATTAGTTGCCTTAGGTTGTCCAGGCCAACTATGGCTAAACTTTTGTAGCCTAAAAAAATGTCTTTTTTGGGCACATGCCTGGCTCAGTCAGTAGAGCATGTGACTCTCAGGAGTTCAAGTCCCACACTGGGTGTGTGGCCTACTTAAAAAAAAGTCTTCTTGTCAGGCATTTTCTATGTGATATAAAAGATTTTATTTATATGAAAGAGAGCAAGTGAGCATCAGTGGGGGGGAGGGGCAGAGGGAGGGGGAGGGGCAGAGGGAAAGGGAGAAGCAGACTCCCCGCTGAGTGGGGACCTCAACGCGGGACTCAATCCCAGGACCCTGCGATTGTGACCTGAGCCAAAGGCCTATGCTTAGCCGACTGAACCACCCAGGCGCCCACCAAATGTAAATATTCAATTGATCCCAAAGCTAAAATGCCTTCACATAAAAGTAATTTTGTATAGGGGTGCCTGGGTGGCTCAGTCAGTTAAATGTCCAACTCGATCTCAGCTCAGGTCTTGATCTAAGGTTTGTGAGTTCAAGCCATACATTGGGCTCCAGGGTGTGGAACCTACTTTTTTAAAAAATAATTTTGTATCAAACTGCTTGATTTTATTAACCTGCCACATGCCTTAATTTGTCGCCTTCTTTCCATTCCCCAATCAGATCATCTTTTCTGCTCAAGACTTTCTAGTGGTTTCTCACCACATTTATAATAAAACCAAAGATCCTATTATGGTTTACAAAACCAATTTAATACATGAACATAAATGTAAAAACTTTAGGGGTGCCTGGGTGGCTCAGTTGGTTAAGCAACTGCCTTTGGCTCAGGTCATGATCTCAGGGTCCTGGGATTGAGCCCCGCATCGGGCTCCCTGCTCGGAGGGAAGCCTCCTCCTCCCTCTCCCTCTCCCACTCCCCCTGCTTGTGTTCCCTCTCTTGCTGTCTCTCTCTCTGTCAAATAAATAAATAAAATCTTTAAAAAAATGTAAAAACTTTAGTAAAATTACTGCAAATCAAATCCAGGAAAATATGAAAGCATAATCATTACCAAGTAGAGCTTATCCCAGGACTACAAGATTGGTTTAGTATGTGAAAACCAGTGTAATTCACCACATTAACAGATTAAAGGTGGAAAATCAAATGATCATTTCAATAGATGTAGAAAGAGTATTTGGCTAAATTCAGCATCTGTTTATTATAAAACTTCTTAGCAAACCAGGTATAGAAAACTTTATCAAACTGATAACAGGGCATCTATGAAACATCAGCTTAATGGTGAAAGACTGAATACATTTTCCCTTAAGATTGAGAAAAATACAAGTATATCTACTCTTAATAATTTTATTCAACATTGTAGATGTCCTTGCTTCTGCAGTAAGTCAAGAAAGGAAAACTGTAAGATTAGAAAGGAAGAAATAAATTGCAGGTAACATGATGGTCTATGCAGAAAAACCTCAGGAACCTACAAAGAACTACTAGAACAACTATTAAATATATCAAGATTATAAAATATAAAGTTAATATAAAAACCAATTTACAGTTTTGCATACTAGCAACAAGCAAATGGAAAATGGAATTCTTAAGAATTCTATTTATAATAGCACCAAAAAATACCGTAAGATTAAAAAAAAAAAATATATATATATATATATATATATATAGTCACTGCACTGGATACTACAGAATACTGCTAAGAGAATTTAAAAAGACTAATAAATGGCTACATAAACCACATTCACGAACTAAACTCAAGTGATGTTCATTTGGATATCAGTTCTTCCCAAATTGATGTATAGATTCCATATAATCCAAATCAAAATCCTAGCAGGCTTTTGGGTAGAAATTCTCAACTTCATTCTAACATTTGGGAATGCAAATGATCTAAATAGTTAAAGTGATTTTACAAGTTGAACTATCAGATATCAAAAGTTACTGTAGGGCGCCTGGGTGGCTCAGTTGGTTAAGCATCTGCCTTTGGCTGGGGTCGTGATCCCAGGGTCCTGGGATCGAGTCCCGCATTGGGCTCCCTGTTCAGTGGGAAGCCTGCTTCTCCCTCTCTCACTCTCCCTGCTTGTGTTCCCTCTCTCCCTGTCTCTCTCTGTCAAATAAATGAATAAAATCTTTAAAAAGTATAAATTACAGTAATCAAGACTGGTACTGATGAAAGGATAGGCATATAGATCGATGGGACAGAATAGAGTTCAGAACTAGACCCATGTAGATATGGTCAACTGCTTTTGGTACAGAGGTACCAACAAGGCAGTATAATGGGTAAAGGAAAGTCTTTTTAAAAGATGCTGGAGCAACTGCATATATATCCAGTGAGAAAAAATCCCCAAAACTTGAATCTTTACTTCACACAAGACACAGAATATAGCTCAGTGGGTCATATACCAAAATGTAAAAGCTAAAACTACAAAATTCTTAGGAGAAAACACAGAAAATTTTGGTGACTTAAGGGGTAGCAAGAATTTCTTAGATATGACACAGAAAGCACCAAACAATAAATTGGACTTTATGAAAATTAAACTTTGGATGTTGAAAAGACAGCAGAAAAACAAAACCACAAGCCACAGTTGGCACACATGTATCCTAATACATATAAATGGCAAAAGACTTGTATTAAGACTATATAAAGAACTCTTACAATTTGATAAGAAAAACAGTAATAAAACATGGGCAAAAGATTTGAACACTTAACAAAAGATATGAATGGCCAAATAGCATATGAAAAGACATTCAACATTATGTCATCAGAGAATTGCATATTAAAACCACAATGAGATACCACAACACAACCATTAGAATGAATAAAAGAAAAAACTGACAATACAAAGATGTGAAGATAGGAAATGGAAGTCGTCTCATATATTGCTGTTGGGAATGAAAATGGTACAGTCACTTTGGAAGACTGGCAGTTTCTTAAAAAGTTAGTTAAACCTATTCCTACTGTATGACTCTTTGCACTTTTAGACATTTACCCAAGAGAAATGAAAACATGTATGCACACAAAGTCCTGTAAATGACAGCTTCACAGCAGCTTTATTTATAATAGCCAAAACCTGGAAACCCAAATATTCATGAACAGATGAAAGGAAAAACAAAATGTTGGATGTCTACACAATAGACTACTACTCAGCAATAAAATGCATAAAGTATTCATACATGCAAAAATATGATTTTTGAAATTATGAGTTAAATAAGCCAGACACAACAATATATATGAATCCATTTAGTTTAGATGGAAACTAGTCTAAAATGACAAAGATCAGGGCGCCTGGGTGGCTCAGTTGGTTGAGTGACTGCCTTTGGCTCAGGTCATAATCCCGGAGTCCTGGAATTGAGCCCCACATCGGGCTCCTGGCTCATCGGGGAGACTGCTTCTCCCTCTGACCCTCTCCCCTCTTATGCTATTTCTCACTCTCAAATAAATAAATAAATATCTTAAAAATAATAATAATAAAATGACAAAGATCAGATTGGTGTTTGGAGCCAAGAGGACAAAAATGGACTGCAAAAAGGCACAGGCAATCTTTTGGGGTGATGGAAATGCTGTATGTCTTCATTGTGGTGATGGTTTCATGGGTGTGTACAATAGTCAGAATTCCATCACATTGTATGACGTATATGAATGCGATTTACTGTATGTAAAATTCCTTAATAAAGTTAAGAAAAAAACAGATGGAAACAAGAAAGGTAAGTAAAGACAGACTTTAATAATATAAAAAAGTAAAACTCATGTAACAAGCTCTTAACACTGAAAATAGAGACTTAACCTTGGAACCTACGGAACATTTTACAAACACCAACTATATATTATGCCATACAAAATCCTAAAGTCTCAAAGAATACTAAGTCCTTTATGATCCAATATGATAAAGTAACTTGATCAAAATATATTAAAACCAGAAAAATTTCTTTTTTTAAAAGATTTATTTATTCCAGAGAAAGAGAAAAAGAGAGAGCGTGTGAGTATGAGTGGGGGGAAGGAGAGAGGGAGAGAGAGAGATACTCAGACTTCCTGCTGAGCGGGGAGCCTGACCCAGGGCTCAGTCCCGCGACTCTGAGATCATGACCTGAGCCAAAATCAAAAGTTGGATACTTAACTGACTGAGCCATCCAGGTGCCCCCAGAAAACTTTCTTTTAAACAACTCTCCCGTAAAAGAGAAATTTTTTTAAAAGTAGGTTATCTAGGAAATAGCAATAACAAAAACAGTAAATATTAGACTCTCTGGAGGACAGCTGAAGCTATATTCAGAGGAAAATTCATAGCCCCTAATAATTTAGTGAGTAAGAGAATGAAACTAATAGATTTAAGCATTTATTTCAGCAAAACGGGGAACAAAAAAATAAACCTAAGAAAATTAGAATGATGGAATTAGGGAAAGCAGGAAATAAAGAATTGTAAAAGAGAATAATGGTAACACTAATAAATCCATAAGATGGATTTTAAAAATAAAATTAATGACTAGCTTACCTAGTAATTTTTAAAAAAGAATAGCTATACAAAATAAAATTGGAAACTATTAAAAAAGAATTACAAGATTTTCTTCAGATTCATAGAAATAAATTTGATAACCTAAATCAAAAGATAATTGTTTGGGAAAGTAAAAATTTGTAAAATTTCACCCAAGACAGAAACTGTAAAGAGACCCCTTACCAGAGAGAACATTGAGAAAGTTGTCAAAGATCCACTTTCCCACAAAGGCCCTGATACCAGGGTTTATCTCAAACTGTAAAACTAAGTGATCTCATCCATTCGTACTAGCATCTCTAAATCACTTTTTTCTGAGCCTCTCCCGATCTAGTGGCATGTTGTGTTTCTTCACTCAGAAGTCTCTCCATCTTGTAAAAATAAATCTCTTATGTCCCAAGTCAAATTATCATCTTTTTCCTCTACCAGGATATTCTTTTGACTTGTTTCTATTAAACCGTCTCACTTTCCAGTTACCCAGACTTGAAAATATAACTGGAAATTCTTCTTTCTGTGATGGTTAATTAGCCTCTGAAGAACCTTAATTTAGCAGAATGATTTTCTTAAAGTAAAAACTCAGTGAATCTTGGTAAAAGAATAAGTGAATGAATAAATGAATCAAACCTTCATTCTAAAAGGAATGAGTGACTGAAAATGAAAAAAATAGACATTGCTATGTCTAGATTTTTAAAAGTATGATGGAGCAACTTTTGCAAAACTAAAAAGAACAAGCAGACACTGACATTTTGGACCCAGAGAATAGGAAAAGGTTATCAGAGAAGACAGTAATTTGTGAGAGAATATATACAAGAAGAATAAGGGAGCTCATGCCAATGGCACCTCAATGCTTCTTCCCAGGCCTTGAGCCTTTAAGAAAAATTACCCATGAAACATCAATTATAAGCTGGAACCTCTCAGAATAGCTGAGCTTTTCCTTGCAATGGCCTCTTCTACCTTCCTAGTTCTTTCTCACTCACCAGGGCACGTGCCTCTTGTCCCCTCCTTCTTCACCATCCAGGGTTCTTTTCCTTGTTCCAATAATGAGATCACATCTGGCTTAGAAACTGAAACTCCTGCTTACAAGGAATAAAGGGAGAATTAGCCGGGCCCATAAATCAGATCAAGGTGCTTGGTCATCAGGAAGTCAAGGGCATTAGGCAGAAGGGAGTAGAGGAAGAGGTGAAGTATTCTGAAGAACGGGGAAAATGAAGTTGTAGGAATAGTCCAATGAAGCTACCAGTTCTACAAACTCAGCCTATTTTGGGGAGCACAAGAAAGGGAAATTTAGTGAAGTACATTGGAGGCTTCCCAAACATTGGAAAGCAGCCCTATGTGCAGATTCTGAATTCTAGGGAACCTCCTTACCTAGTGATACCAGGCTCCTATAGTTCTCCAACATCACCTTTCTGTACAAATTCCTCTGAGCAGGGTTCAGCCATTCCCACTCCTCTTGAGAGAAATCTACAGCCACATCCCCAAATGTCACCAAATCCTGAAATGACATAAACATACTCCTTTATTCTCAACTAGTATTCTTCACCTCAGATTGGCATAGTTTGAAGAGTTAATTTGTACTTTTGGAGAGAAATATTGCATATAGCGAAACTTTCTGGCAGTATCTTTGGTTCTCCACAACATATGTCAAGTAATTTCTAAAATGATTTCTCTGTGCTTGGTTTTAATATTTTGTCATGGAAAGTATACCATTTCTGACATAGTCTCTACTGATGGGGAAGAGAGCAAACGAGCAAAATAACTGTTATTCATACTAAATGCTAATGCATTTCTCAATATGGAAAATCAGGATAGACGAGAGCAGTGAAGGAAGGCTTTGAGGAGGAGGCAGGAATATGTTGTACCGACCATGTCGAATGTGGCCTAAATCTACATTTTCCAAACTCTTCCGTGGAATGGCTAATGTTCCAGCTGTATCAATAGGGTACCTATATAAATATATTTGATGCTTATAATATTGATTTCCTAAAACTAAACATATAGGTAGTAAAAATATTAAACAAGTTCTCTAGTGATTTTGCAAAAATATAACCTAAACGAAGGTATGCCATAGCAGAACGACTGGGCCAATAAAAGATTATCTAACAGCTCTTGATAACCCCACTGAGTTTCAAAGACAGTTGGTAACTTCTCATGTAAAGAGACAAAATAATAGTAATTTTAAGCACTATTAGATAGTGAACATTTCAGATGTGATAATGAAGTGCAACAAAAAATCCTTACAGCTCTCACTAGAGGAACATACCCAATTGTGCATGTCTAATGAGAGTTTTTTTTTTTTTTAAGATTTTATTTATTTTTTGACAGAGAAAGAGACAGTGAGGGAGGGAACACAAGCAGCAGGAGTGGGAGAGGGAGAAGCAGGCTTCCCGTGGAGCAAGCAGGGAGCCCAATGCAGGACTCGATCCCAGGATCCTGGGATCATGACCTGAGCCGAAGGCAGACACTTAACAACTGAGCCACCCAGGCGCCCTGAGTGAGAGTTTAAAATGTTAAAGTACAGTTCTCCATAATACTCCATTGAATTAAGGATCTTTATAACATGGAATAAGACCTAGTCTGCTTCCTAAAAATTCAAAACGGGTGTTCTTCCTAATGAGGTAAATCTGCTCCAGACTTACCAGGGCTTACCTATGGTTTGCTATATGCTTCTTTGGTTTGGCATGTCACAGAGCAAAGCCTACTCTTTACCTGGGCTGATATACAGACGCACTTGGTGATACACATCTGAAGAGCTGAACTGACTTGTTAAATACTGAAATAATGCCACCTGGTTGTAAACAGCTACTGCACTGAGCCCTTCTAGTGACTATCCCAGATCTCCCCACAACCCAGCAACTTAAGGGCAATGCCCAGCACAGCAGCAGCCTCCAGTATCCCAGCTGGGGTAAGTTCTGGTGTGTGCCCTTGCCCTAGTGGTTATCAAATATGAACATCACTCCTATTTAATGTGACTCTGCAGAGTAATGGTCCTATTGAGGATGTATTTAAGCACATCAATGATTTTATGCAGAAACAGGTTTAATGGAAATAATTAATATGTGAACTGCTGGTGCCCAAGTTTATGTTTAAGGAGGCTATAAGGGAAGAAGTATGCCTCCAAGAAACATCAGTTATGTGCAGCAGCTTGATCTTACATGCCTCCATCTCTAAAACACTTAACAGGGAAATACGGGACGTGAGTAAAGGCTTCAAGGAAGGAAGGGAACATGAACTGAGTCTTAAAAGATGAAACTTGTCCTAGACAAGGCTGGGTACTGTCAATCATCAATTCTATTAAAACTCAAACACTTCAGGGGCGCCTGGGTGGCTCAGTCGTTGGGCATCTTGCCTTCGGCTCAGGTCATGATCCCAGGGTCCTGGGATCGAGCCCCGCGTCGGGCTCCCTGCTCGGCGGGGAGCCTGCTTCTCCCTCTCCCACTCCCCCTGCTTGTGTTCCCTCTCTCGCTCACTCTCTCTGTCAAATAAATAAAATCTTAAAAAAAAAAAAACCTCAAACAATTCAATACAAACTATAATATTTTGTGCAAACAAAAGTGTTCTATACACATTTCCTCTGTAAACAGAGGTGAGGCAGCTTTTGCTAGGTAAAGTTCTTAGATCTTTTTTAGCTTCACACACAAACTAATGGATTCCAGGTTTCAACTGACTGACTTTTCCCATTAGCCATTCAATGGGACTTGAATATCTTTAAAATATTTTAGTATTTATTTTGATTTGATAAAACAGGAATTTCATACAGTTTGTAATCATGAAGGAAACTTAGCAAATGATGTCCAGTATTTCTACCCTCAGTGATTTTTTTTTCCTTTTTATAAAAGTGAAAAGAACTGCAAGTCCTCCATCCCCACATCTACCCACCATGTCACCCTACTTCCTAGAAACAATCAAAATTTACAGCTAGTATATATCTGTTCAAATGTTTCCTTATACGAACATGTTGATGATTATCTATCCACATTCATTATATCACTTTTGTTAAATGGATAACATTATGTGGTATAAATATGCTGTATCTTTACTAACCCCTTGTTTACTTTCATTTACATGAATCTGAATTTTTCATTATGATGTAAGAATAGTGATGCGCACTATTTTTAAATGTTACAGTACAGTTCTCATATAATACTACTGTATGTTGAATTAAGGATTCAACAGACATCTCCAATTATTTCCTTAGAATAAATCCTAGAAGATATTCTCTCTACTGAGAGTAGGATTTCCCAAACTTATTTGACCTCAGAAAAAATTTCAAATTACACTGTTTTGATCTAGCAAGAATATGAGCTGGGGCACCTGGGTGGCTCAGTTGGTTAAGCAACTGCCTTCAGCTCAGGTCATGATCCTGCAGTCCTGGGAGTGAGTCCCGTATCAGGCTCCCTGCTCAGCAGGGAGTCTGCTTCTCCCTCTGACCCTCCTCCCTCTCATGCTCTCTGTCTCTCATTCTCTCTCTCTCAAATAAATAAAATCTT